ACCTGATAATACAGAGGCATTAGTTAAACTAATTAAGTCACGAATCACAACAACAACAACAACAGAATAAGTATCCCTAACTTATTACTAGATGGAGAAAAACTACACGAAGACCCGCAGGAGATATGTGAGTTATTCAGCTCCCACTTTTCTAGCTACTATACTATCGAAGAAACAGTAGATAGTCTTGAAGTTCCGACAATACCAAATCACTTTTTGGGTAATATAACATTCACCCAACAAAAGATTTCCTCCGCTATAGCATCCCTCCGGACATCATATAACGCTGGGCCCGATGGAATTCCATCTATCTTGTTGAAAAGAGGTGGTGAGGATATACCCATTATCCTACTAAAGTTTTTCAATCTGTCCTTAAATAATGGCAGTTACCCAGAATGCTGGAAACTGTCGTTTATAACCCCTAGGCACAAACAAGGACCAACTTCTAATATCGAAAACTACCGACCGATTAATATCACGTCAGTAGTTTCCAGGGTTATGGAAAAGGTTATAGGGCAAGATATTGCTTCATACCTCCACCTTCACAAAGTGTTTACTCCAGCACAACACGGCTTCTTGAAAAATCGATCATGCTCCACCTGCCTACTTGACTACTTTGATGATGTTACCGCTAAGCGTGATCATGGTTTGTATGTCGCAACTCTCTTCTTTGACTTCAAAAAAGCCTTTGATAAAGTCCCACACAAGAGACTAATCCTTAAGCTAAAGTCGTACGGGTTCCAAGACCCCTTGTTATCCTGGCTCATTTCTTTCTTGGAAGATCGTTCCCAAGTTGTGAAATTTGCAAATAATTACTCGTCACCCAGACCTATACGAAGTGGAGTGATTCAGGGTAGTGTACTAGGTCCACTGCTTTTCGTAATCTACATTAACGACATCTGCAGCGTAATCAAGCATGGTACCCCATACCTCTTTGCTGACGACTTAAAGATTGTATACAGCTTCCCCCATTCTACACTAAACGAAGGATTCACACATATTCAAGATGATCTGGATAGGTTACATAACTGGAGCAATGACTGGCAACTGCCATTCAATTCTGATAAATGTGGTGTCCTATATTTCAATAACTCCCATCCGAATTTCAGGTTACACCTAGGTAACTCTTTTCTCCAAACCCTCAGTTCCATAAAAGACCTGGGAGTTACCTACTCACAAAACTTAACATTCAGTCAGTACGCAAAAGCACTTGTTTCTAAATGCCGAAGACTCACAGGCTTGTTACATCGAAAAATGTACACAAATGAGGCTAAAGTCCTTTTATACAAAGTCATGGTTCGTCCAGTACTTGAATACTGCACAATTGTCTTCGGTTTCATGCATGGGTATGACAGGGTTCGTATTGAAAATATTCAGCGAAGTTTTACTCGACGCCTATTATACAAACATGAAGGACTGACTTACGCTGATAGGTGCAAAATGTATGGACTTCAGCCACTTTGGTTAAGGCGCCTGAAACTCAACCTTACATTCCTCTTTCGCCTTTTACACGGCTACATCAAAAGCAGTAATCCAATAGCTTTCAACAATTTACCCATATATACTCTTAGGAATCATGAAAATACTCTATCCATAAGCCGGTTCCGGACAAAACTGCGATCACGTTTCTTTAAAATACAGTACAGTGCATTATGGAACGAACTTCCACTTACTGTACGTAGTTGCCGATCTCCTACTGAATTCCAGCGTCTACTTAACGAGTTCCTGTCAACAAAAGAGCTTCGGTCTACTTATCCATACTTTATCCATATGGGCCGCTCAACTAGCTTTAGTACTACAGACCCCAGTGCAATACCCCCAATTTGAGGAAACTCATTTGCCCCGGCAACCGTACCTCATATATAAACTGGTAAAACCAACCTAATCTTTCCCACATGCCTTTACCTAAGGTTCGGTTATTCAGCCTACTAGAGATCCTATCGATATTTCTTCAATCGGGTTTATAAACTCATAAGACTCTATAATTTTCCTGGATGTATAATCCCAAATTAGTTGTGATAGTTCTTCCATAATATAAGCAAACTGGTACTTTGTAATGTCTAAAGCATGCCATATGAAAAGTGGCCAGGAAAACCTAGCAATAACAAACTCAACCAACCAACCATTTTCCCCAAGTTCATTCAACCTACCCTTATCCCTAATCGTACCACTATTCACTACACTCTACTCAGTAGAATATGACTTAATTTGCTCCGGTACTCAAAACTCTTCTACCTTTTACTTTTAAAAAAGACGTTTTAACTACTAACTGCACAGTAGCCGTTTAACTAACTCACTGGTTTCCTCTTCACTGTAATCTTCAATAAGTTCGTCAGTATAATTATTTCCGAAAACCATTACATTAGCAACCATATCTTTTAATATTTTACAAATATACTTATATTATTAGCATAATACACTGCACTATTTTTGAGTTGAATTGACTATCTTCAGTCAACAGTTACCCATTCTCATATAATTTTCTAAAATTCATGATGTTGAAGCTATGTAGTATTTTTTCCATTGTATAGCTGATGAGTCACTTTGCAATGCGTAACGCACACCATATAAAATCGGTCGCCAAAATTTAGCATAACAAGTTCTGCTAACCAGTTGCTTTTCTCAGGACCACTTTACATAACTTTGTCACTAATTGTTCCACTACTTAAAATGATTAAAATATTTATGCAGCAAATGTTCTCTTGCTTCACTACGCTTGTTTCCCTTATAACACTCAATTACTGAGCCCAGTGTATTCTTTGATAGTACGAATTATAATATTAATTATACTCTTATCATATATAGATCGGTTTACTTTACGGCTCCCTGTAGACTAACTACAATTCTTCAGTATACACACACTGCAGTATTGTTAACCAAGTGCTAAAATTCTGTTGGTTCTGTGTTAATATCTTTTTATAATATGGGTAGGCAGGTTACTTTGCAAATGTCAGATGTTTATTATATATAAGACTGTCATGATAATTTAGTACACTTAGTCCTGCCAACCGACCTTACCTTCAGTTCATACCACCTACATTGAACCCTAACTATAGTGTTCTGCTGAATCTTGCTCCAATATTCACAAGACCTATTCTTTTTACTCTTTAGGGTTTTAACTTCTTATAAAGTAATCTGTTCATTAGGATGCATGCATACATGAAGATGTACGTGGAGACCTATTGGAAGCATTCATTAAGAAAGCTAGGGAGATGGAATATGAGGTACGAACATGTCTGGTACCAAGCAATATATTTGCGGTAGCCATAATAATCATATTATTAAAACAATATTTATGCATGCCTATACAATTGGTGTACCCTACATAGCTAGGGAAAAAAATGTACTTTATTATATTATCTTTACTAAATATGCTTATTAATATTATGTGTAAATTATCGAATTGATGATGCCTGTAAACTGGCGTCCCTCATGTAAAAAATGAGAATATATATATATATATATATTATTATTATTATTATTATTATTATTATTATTATAGTCTCAGAGCCTAACATCAGAAAAGGAGGGAGGATGGTGCTAGCTGATCAGTAGATATGGTGGTGGTCACTAAGGTGAATCGCCCCATTCTGCAGAAACAGCAATATGCAATTTGAAGGCTCGAGAAATTTCTGATTTTTATGAGGGCTTAGATCTTTATCTTGAAAAAGATAATAATGAACGCCTTGACAGACCATGCTTCTACTTTTATATATATACCATTCGCTCAGCCTATTGTTGAGATGCGACCACGCGGGATGTGCACAGATTTATGGGGCATCTTTTAAATTAACTTGCTATCCATTCTCAGATCTTTGCATATTTTGCAATCGACTGCAAAATGTGACTGAATTATATGGTCTTATTTCTTTTAACCATTTGATGCCTGTATACTGGCTTCCCTCAAGTAGTGAACTATGAGAATAAATTTATTTATCAGTTCACACATAATATAAAAGTTAGCATAACGGGACTAGTTAGTTAGCGCAAAAATATAACCATAGTTACAAAACAGAACACAAATGTATTTATTTATTGATCACTTTTTAAGAACTCCTCTTGATTTCTTTTCCTTTGCTGTTGTTTGTCTTCTTTTATCTCTCACCATTTTAGCTTCCATTGGACTTTTTGAATGAGAATGAATAATATGGATGTTTGACCATTTACAATGACAAATGATCTGCAAACATTATTGGTCCCATATCTCTCAGTTGCCTGGTTAATAACGAATTAACTTTCCCCACGACGCAACCTGGATTACATTTGTGGAATATACCCTTATACCAATGGAAAAGTGTTAATTTGTAATACAACGTCCCGATTGTAACTTATAACATAACTGATCGTATCTGTAAAAATAGCTTCCTTATTACCCAGTTTGGATATTAATCGAAAATAAGATTAGGATTTGTACACACCTAAGTTATATTGTGGAATTACTTCAAGCCTTATTTTTTCCCAAATATTTTTAATCCACCCAAAACATACTTGGATTTTTTTGTTAATGCGAAGTCAATATTCCCATATTTCATGATGTGCTCCATTGAATGACTGGTTATCATATTGTTCCCACAAATCAAAGACAAAAACGTCAAAAACCATGTAATTTAACCATTATTCAAATTCATGAAATTTAAATAATGCTTATACATGCCTGTACATTTGATGTGTCCTACACGGGTAGGAAAAATGTATATTTTATTAAAACATTATTATTAAGTATGGTTGCTAATCGTATATGTAATTCATCATATTGATGATGCCTGTAAACTGGCGTCCCTCATGTACAAACTGAGAATATACTATTACTATATGTGTAGTGTATGAACTTAGAGACTACACCTGTTGTTTGATTTGCATTTTGTTTATAATTCCAGACAAAAAAGCATTACAATAACATCCATTCAATTAAGAGCCGATCGAGTTATGCCTACCTGATACAAAGGATGAACCATAACAAACATACGAATGCGATATGAGAAAACAAGATCGAAACTCACCGCAACACCACATGGAAAGATATAAGTTACTTGAACATCATTTATAATCCACCAACTGGTCCCCATTCCAAAAGGAAGGTGGCGACGTTTTGTCCACGGTGGCGAGGAAATACATAGATCCACAGCTTCCATTGTAAACACTCAATGGAGGAAGGAGCCAACAAAGTAATGCATTTAAAGCATATGTATACTTCCCATGATCGCGGTGACTCTGCGGAATACGTCAAAATCCAAATCACTGCCTATACAGCGCCAAAAAAATCTGGATAACTATGATATAACGAAAATATGCTGAAAGTCTCATCTCACATCAAGCTGATTCATTCGATGGTAATGATCTGCTCCTGCATGCCTTATTTCGCATTCTGAATGGAATAGTTCGCGGTTATTCTGGTTCCAGATCGAAAAGAATCAAAAATTCACCGGTTACTGAATCAAAAGTACTTCTTCGCATGTTTTACTGTATTCTAACTGCTTTGGTGAGCCTTCTGTAGATTAAGTTGCTTAAAAGATAGTTTACGGTAACTAACTATCGTTTTATAAACCAGTTTCACACTCTTGTGGGTAGCCCACCATGTCGACCAAAAGTAACGCAATACTCAGTTGTTACGCGCAATTTCGACAAATTCAAACAATAATGGTTTCTAGGATTATATTATATAAACTGTTTTAACTTATGCAAAGTGTGTTTACTATCATTGTTCCATTATCCTCTCTTGTATATATATATATATCTTGTGTCAGTGAAAAACTTTTAAACATGCTTACTCCGTGTGTACATTATTATCATATTGATGATGACTGTCAACTGTCGTGTGCATTAAAAGACAGTATATTATTGTAAGAATCATTTCATTATTATATTAGGAAATTGACTTCAGGTTTTATTTATTCACCCAAGTATCTGTAATCCATTCAACGAATACTTGGGTTTGTTTGTTAATGCGAAGTCAATATCCCTGTATCTTTTGATGTGGTCTATTGAATCAGATTTTTTCCACAAACTAAAAATGACGAAATGACAGCAACCGTAAATCATGTTACTCAAACAATATGCATGCCTATAAAACTGGGGTATCCTAAATAGCTAGGATAAGTATGTACCTCATTATATTTACTAACTATGCATACTAATCATATGTGTAACTTATAGAATTGATGATACCTGTAAACTGGCGTCCCTCATGTACAAAAATGAGAATATATTATTATAATGATACTTTTTTATCTTCCTCTGAACAACGAATGATGAGACGATGACTGAACTATCGATGAATCCCACGAAAAATATGGAGTTAGTCTGAGCAAACTACCATGAATCGGTAATTCAATCTTCAACTACATTTACACCGTTTTGTTGGGGAAAGTGGTTGCCAGACTACATCGGGCATATTAAAGTCCCCACATATAATTTTAGCCTTGTGAGGCAGAGAAGTGGCGTAAGCGAACGTGCTACCAAGCTTCATATTACCTTCAACAGTTGAGCACGGGGATGATAGATGCAACCTATAGGATAGGAATTGCAGTGAGACAGTCTTAGAATACCCCACACTGAATCGTTATCTGTAATGCGCTCTGGGTAGAAGCACTGTGTGGCCTCAATATCAGACCTGATATACATTGCACATACTCCTCCTCTGCCATGGTTTCTGTCGCCTCTGAATACATAATAGTTATCAATAGAAATATCTTTATCGCAAATCTGAGGAGTGCACCATGTCTCAGTAATCATTATGAGAGACGGGTTGCAAATTAGGGATAATGTCGTAAAGTCGAACATTTTGTTGAGTAAGGAGCGAGCATTGATAAGACAGAATGAGAGAGAGAGTTAGGGGTGACGGTGAAATCGCATATATCTCCAAGGTTTATGGCGTCTAGAGCAGATTTTTTGATGGGTGCTGTCTCAGATGGTGGTAACTTACTGGCAGTGCTGGATAAGTGCCTTGCACCAGTATCAGCACAGAGAGATGTGCTATCGTTTGTTATTCCGGCGGGTGTGAGGTGTTCATAATACCGTGGCTCTAATGCATCGCCCTCCCATCCGGTGATAAGTGGCTTGACAGTATGTGTGCTATTTGCGTCAATATTGAGACTAAAATTTCGTGTTGGCTGAGAAAATTTAGATTGGATGGGGGGGGGAGGTAGGTATTCCTTGTGGATAGTATGCTGGAGTAGAGTTATGTGCATCGGAGTTATGACTAATATTTTGTGAGTTTAACTTATTTTAGTGGGTTGTCAATATCTAGTGGTTTTCGGGGATGTGGTGAGTCAAATGTCCAACGTCAGGTAACAAGCCTAACCCAATTGTCAACCAAGTCTCTTGAAGGGTTAATGCCTAGTTTTTGATACGCTGGGCCTCACGCTGTCCCTCGAAGATTTTCAGAAACGCTTAGTATTAACCAACGCAAGAACAAAAACACTGATTTGCGACTCAAGAATTCCTTATTCTAACGCCAACATGTAACCAGCAATACTGGCACTTCAGACTAAGGTCTAAGGACAAATATTACAACAAAAAATAACGATATTAATTCTGACAGTTTTTTCTAGGTTCTTTCTGACCAATGAGACGATGCCTGATGGATTGAGCAAACAACCATGAATTGATTGTTCAATCTTCAACCACATTGGCACTCCCCGTCTAAAAAGGGTCAATCCCTTTTATCCATCACGACCAATACACGTTGACTTGGATGGCAGTGCGAGAAACTGGGTCACATGGACAAAGCTGAAATCGAAGACAAACAGAAAAGTCAACACACCACAGCCATACCCACCGCACAATCTCACCCATCGACAACGACCTACGCCTTCCAGTTAAAGGCTTCTTCTTGACATCTTGCAACAGAATCGCCACAAACCAAAATGACGCTTGCAGAAAGCAATGTCGTGACCATGGCAGCACCTCATGATACTCTTCGCACATCCTCTTATCTATTCACTGCTGATTACCTCTGTGATCACTTGTCACTCATTCTGCCTCAGTTCTAGTAACGGTGACGTATGCAAGACTCAGTCGTCGACATGTGACCAAAGCTAATCCTTATCTCCGTGTGCATGTCATTCTCAGCACTAGCCTCCCAGGCGTATACAACCCATCTCCTGTTTTAACATCAATCAAATCATTCACGAATTTGGAAGACTCGAAACAACTTCAGAAGTAAGTACGACGAAAATTTGACAAAATTACGCAATAAAAACAGGATACGAAAACAACAAGTGAACACAATGAATCCGAAAACACCAATTGGTATGGCACACCACATGCATATACAAACAGTGCACATAACCTCGCAGATCATGTCTTGATGGAATTCCTTTGAAGAGTAGTATGACTTACACCAGTACGCCTACAACCCTTCTCACATTGACGATTATAAGTTGTGGAATGTCCGGACACAATCAAGACTAACCAACAATTACAATAATATGAACCCATACAATTATTTAACACAAACATATATACAATCAATACATCAAGTGTTGTGGATTCTTCCTTGACGAACTACCTTTTGAAGAACTGTAGGACTCACAACAGTACGCCCACATTCCTTCTCGGGTTGATGATACAAGTGAAAGACGTCCAGGGACAAACAAAATTAACCAACAGGTGATGGAAGATTATACCATTTCAGTATATACAACATTAACATGTGTACAAAATCACATACCAGGTACGATGGACTTCATACCGACGTAGTACCTTTGAAGAATTGTGGGACTTACAGCAGTACGCCTACGACCCTTCTCAGGTTGACGCCTTTAGTTGGAAAATCGTCGCAGATTTCATTTGATGACCTCCTTCTATCATCTATGTCCTGAACTCTGAACAGTGAGACGCCCATGTCATTGAATCGTAGAATATAGGTGACTAACAAACACACGACGTATTTGACCAGCCAAGCGTGGGCACAGAGTTATTTACACCAAGGATAATAACATTCAAATAGTAATTTGAAACTTCAAATGCCTTTATTTGTGCAAGTCAGTTTAACAATCACACTCTCATACACAGTTGGCCTATCACCGCTATACTGACCATAGGCTTTTGTCTTTTCAAAAGAACTCAAACTAGCATAATAATTGCATAAGACACTTGAGTTCATGGACGTCCCTTTCATCGTGGATGACAACACCGACGACGACTGATTGACACCAGTTGATGAACTTAGCGGTGCATCAGAAGCTGTTGTTGTTCCACTTTTAGAAGGTTGTCTAACTGCAAGATTACCACCACTGCTGCCTTTTACTATTAGCTCAAGTTTAGCATTGGTATCTGATGATATGTGGGCTACAAGCTAATCATTTACACTGACGGTCTCATGAGTATCCATACCTTCTACCACTGCATCTTCTCTAAAATCTTCTTCACATTCAAGTTGTAAAGAATCTTTGTTCAACTCAGCATTAGTAGGCACTCCCCTCATCTCATCATGATCAACCAAAAACAAATGTGCACTATCATACTGTTACGCGGTACGTTCAACGTTTGCGTTACATTTTTACGTGATTCGTTATATAAAGTTTATCTTGTTGTAATAGTTGCACAAGTACTATACTACTTGCATACTTGTAACCACTAACTCTCATTTCTAATAGTTATGGTTAATCAAAGTAAAAAGCAACGGACACAGTCCCCTGTAAATCTGGAGACTAATTCAACGTCCTTGATTGCTACATCAAGCAACACACCCCATACAAACGGTTGTAGTTTCATGGGAACCCATCAGTGCTCCTCCCCGCTACAGCAAATTCTTAGATGCAGTTGAATTATGTGGGTGGACACAAAGTATTTTAAGGCCCACCCGAAACCAAAATATACTGGACTTGGTTTTCTTGGAAGACATCGCCTTATCTACCATAGACATCAGCCGAACATTCCCTGGTAGTGACCACAACACAGTAATCTGCGCCCTTGATACCAAGCTCCACTCATCAAAACGCTCTACCCTGCGCAAGACATTCATGTGCTTCGGAAAAGCTAGGTGGGACGTATCTAACTCCTTCATTAGAAGCTTAGACTGGGATCTTTTCTTTTCTAATAGCAACCTAGACACTATCCTACTAGCCTTTTACCAGAATGTATCTATTTGCTTTGATAATCTCGTTCCTAAATGTAAAGAAAACCCAAGAGAAAACATAAAGAATTTCATTCCTATAAAAGTAAAGGCTAAGCTGCGAAAGCTGTACCGACAGTACCACAGAGAAAACGACTTCTCATGCCTTCTAAATATACAGAACATTTATCTAGCTTTGAAAGAAAATAACGACAAAGCCCTACTCAGACAAGAACATGCAGCTCTTAAAGATAGCTCTAAATACACTGCAATCTGTAGGCTTTATCGCAAAAGGCTAAACTCCCGTAAAACGGATATACAATTCATTTTAGAAAATGGCGAAACCGCTAGTGACTGGAAAATAATTTGTGAGCTTCTAAACTCCTATTTCTCACAGTCATATACCTATGATGATAATACGTTGCCACAACCTCTATTCCCTGTACGTTCACAAAAAACCTTAGAAATTATCAGCTTTTCTTTAGATAATATTAAGAAAGCAATCACTTCTCTTAAAAGTTCAAACAACCCAGGTCCTGATATGATTCCCTCAACTTTTTTAAAAT